TGGTGTTATTTCTGGTTGATTATTTTTCAGTTGGCATTTGACGTGAAAACTGAAAGTATACATTCGCTCATCTTTACATTTTTCTACCCCACCGAATCTTCCTCCAGAGCGCCTCCCAATTATGAATACAAAGTCTGTTTCCTTAGCTTCCTATCTCAGAAATATCCTTTAAGCCTATGATATTGCACCTTTTATTTTTACATGAATTCCAGGAACAGTAGACTTTGTGAGAAGTAGAGCTGCTGTGCAAATACATGCCTTGATATTGTAGAACTAGAAATGGTCTTTAGAAATCATCTGGCCATACCACTCTTCAGTTTTAGATGAATGAAAATCAAGACTAAGAAAATTTTGCAGGAATCATTAATGATAACCACAACAAGGTATGGGTAAGATAGGAACTAAATCTTAGATTTTTTTTTTTTTTTTTCTTGAAATGGAGTCTTGCTCTGTTGCCTAGGTTGGAGAGTAGTGACATGATCTCAGCTCACTGCAACCTCCACCTTCCAGGTTTAAGCCATTCTCCTGCCTCAGCCTTCTGAGTAGCTGTGATTGCAGGCATGCATCACCACACTGGCTAACTTTTTGTGTTTTTAGTAGAAATGGGGATTCACCATGTTGACCAGGCTGGTCTTGAACTCCTGACCTGCCCGCCTTGGCCTCCCAAAGTGCTGGGATTACAGGTATGAGCCACTGTACCTGGCCAGATTTTTAAATTCCCATTTATGTTGTGTGCTATGCTGGCAGGCAGGGATAGCAGTTTTCAGCCCATTAATCTACTTTCTGAGTAACACGACAATTTGATATGGCAGGCCCCTTTCCTGGCCAAGGGAATCTCACATTCAAGCCCATAATAGGAAGTCCCGTGGCCTTAGGAGGAGATCCGAATTCCCCTGGCTTCTTTCTGAATCAGAGTCGAAACAAAAGTAGGCTGGGCAGTAATCCTTTCCAAGATAGGGGCTCAGACACCATGGTTCTCTCACTAACTTGAGGAGTCTCTGCATGTGCCCCAACAGCGTCAGGGCAGCTGTCAGCCCACCAGCGTTTCAGAATACAGTGCCACTGCGCTGATGGAGCTTCTTCGGGAGAAAGAGGAGAGGATTCTGGCTCTGGAAGCTGATATGACAAAGTGGGAGCAGAAGTATTTGGAGGAGAATGTGATGAGACATTTTGCTCTGGATGCTGCTGCAACTGTGGCTGCTCAGAGGTAAGTAGTCAGCTTGTGTGGCATGAGTGGGAAGAACAGAAAGGTCACTGATGCATAGATTTATCTAGTGTTTTATTTTCTTTAATATTCTTGGTTTCCCCCACCCCCACCACCACCAACTTCTGCCTAAGTGTGTTTTTTTTTTTTCACCTGATTATGCAGGGACTGAACGGCTGTGGAGACAGAGGGTCAGGGATTTGAACATAAAAGTTGCTTTATAAACTTATTAGAATCATAGTTCAGCTTTCCTCAGGGCCAGAATAATTGCAGATGGGATCAGCTGAATATTTGAGCCCCTCCTTCCCCAGAGCCACAGATTCTTCCAGCCACATATGCAGACTGTTTAGCCCCAGGACTGGAGTGAAAGCCCCTCCAGAGAAACTGCCACTCAGAAACTAAATGCCACTCAGTAGTGGCTGCTGTCATTTGATAGCTCTGGCTTTTCCAAGGTATGTCAAAGGCTGTGCTGAACTTGAACCCATCCCTGCCCTTTGGGAAGGTCAGTATTTGAACACCACATTCTCTATGTGTATGAGCTCATCACATGTGAACAGTCACATTCCATCTGGTAAGGGAGAGAAAGTGGCGGGAGGATTTTTTTTCCTTCTTATTTGTTCCCCTTTTCAAATGATAAAAGTTAATTATTGGCCTTTGGAGGAAATAGTTGCTCTTACCCTATGTGTCTATCTTGCTACTGCCCATGTCATCAGCTGGGGTAAAAAGAATGGAAGAAAGATAGAAAAAAAGAAACAACAGAAACTAAATTCAAGTCAGGTGATGACTTGGGTTGTGGCGATACCAGAGCCTTAGTCTGGAATTGGGTATCAAAGGCAGGTGGCAGCATATTGCACCCAGATAGGTCTCTATCCAGAAAGTTATTAAAACCACAGTGTTATTTTCAACAATGTCCTAAACATGGTAAACTAGCAGACTCTGGAAGAGCTTGCCAGACTTTGGGTTGGGGTATGTGTGTGGAGGGGTAGTGGATACATTTATTTTTGAGTCCTTCTCAGCCAAATCAGAAGTGGGGAGATTCAGTGCTTAAGAGCTGAGCCGGTGCTTTATAAGCCCACTCCAGTTCTTAGAAAGACAGATCTCTCTAATGTGATCTGCTTGTCTTCAGATATCATCCATGCTTCAAACTGATGGAAGCTGCCTGTGGCTTGATTTTGAGGTCCTCCTGGGCTTAAGTTTGCCTGGCCTTGTTTCCTAAGCAAGGCATACTCAATACATGCTAGAGTGCACAGAAGCCCCAGCTCTGCCAGAAGGTGGTCTTGAAGTTTGTAGGCAGGTTAGAAGCAGAATCCAATGTAATTTTACCTGCCAGCTCCCAAGGAAACACCTGTATGCAGCACTTGTTCAGAGGTTATTTAAGAAACTCTGACGCTGAAAAAACATTGTTACTATTGAGAGGTGTAAAGATACAGGGTAATTTTATCACCTGTAGGCAGAAGCTTAGAAACATACAGGTCACGAGAGTGTGCAGTGTGAGAAAATACTGGAAAGTTAGGGTTCATGGTGCTGACTTCAGCATAGATTCCAGGTCAAAATACAGGAGAGCTAGGGGGTTGCCACTGGGGGTCTTGTATAAAGAAACTCCTTTCCTTCCTTCCTCCTTTGAAAGCTTTGTGTATTTGGGTAAACCCCTTTCAGATGGATTTTCAGAATCTGTTGGCTCCCATAAGGTAGATTTAATTTAAACTGAATTCCTTTCAATCATCGGGTAGAAAGTTTTCATCTGATCACTGGTTTTGGCAAAATTTGCATGCCTATCACTTAGTAGGATAAAACACAGCCTGTTCCCACCTAGAAAGAACACATTCTGGTAGTTCCACAGGTGAACATTCCAGATCAGGACAGTGTATCTTTCTGGTATGCTACCCATCCAACCCACAGGAGACACTGAGAGAGAGACTGTATTGAAATTTCTGTATAATAAGTGAATTGGCCTAGGTGATTTCTCCAGACCTTCCTATTTCTAGGATTATATTATTTTTCCAGTGATAGTGCTTCTTTTGCTCTACCTTGGAGATTGGTTTTCTTTTCCTCTTTCCTTTCAAATAAGATTTTATATTTGAGAGGTAATATTCAGAAAACTTTGTTTCAAAACCCATGGGTTGTTCTGCCTTTTTTTCCAACGTTTCTTTTCATTCCTTTTGTCTACTTGTTTTTCTCCTCTTTCTGTCAATCTTAAATGTAGCTGTTGACCAAGGTTCTGCCTTTTGATCCTTTCCATGGTAAAAGTTTTATATTTTCTTTTCTTTCAAAGTAATTTTTAAGTGTCTAGGATATTGGCTACTGTTGGAAAATGCTCAAATGTATTTGAGTAAGGAAGGAAGGAATGAAAGAAGAAAAAGGGAAG